GGGCCCCTCCCCTGCCTGGGGAGTGGTGGGTGGATGGGGTGGGGGGTAGGTTGGAGGTGGGGGAGAAGGAATGGGGGTAAGGGGAGGGAGAAGGAGAGGGAGAGGGAAATTACATGTGAAACAAGCCTGTTCCCTAACTTGAATTAATTATAATAAAAAGAGGGGAAAAAAAGAATAATTGATAAACAGAAACATGATTATATTCCTAATGATTATTGTAATTAAATTCCCTCTTTTTTATTTGTGAATTATTTGACATTGAGAATGCAATGATGAAATTTCTGCTGCTCTGTAAGTTTAGGAAAAAATTAATTTTTCAAAACACTTCTGGAAATTTAATACACATATTAGTTGATATTTAACTTTATGCAGTAAAATTGTTTCCTAAAAATTAATTACCTTATCCTCCATTTGGGTTAATTATGAAGCAATACAGTCTCAAATTAAAAGTGTAAATGGTTTTGGTTTAATTACATTGTGATAATTAATAATGCAGGTAAGTTTCTTAGTATAAAGACAGCCATGATCAAAGGACATATTCCTAAAGGACTTGGGGGATAGTTTTCATCATATTGTAGAGAAGAATTACTGTGTATATAAGTGGAAGATGAAAGTACGTTAGCAAAAAATAATTACCAGTGGGATTCTTATACAGAGTCTGAATTAAAACTTTAACAGCATCAATATTTGCTTAATACAATGTGTGTAATATTTAGGTGTGGTAATATTATCAAATTGACCCCTGAGTATCAATTTTTGGCAGGTAAGTAGAACTAAGTAATTGCTTAGGATTTGTCATAGAGGTCAGGGGTTTAGCTCAGTGGTACAGCACCAGTCTAAAAAACTCAAGGCCTTGAGCTTTGCTCTCAGCTCTGGAAAAATAAAAGATGGATTGTGCAATAACTGAATTATGTAAGAGATGATCTATTGTTGCCTGGCTTTATGAGCAGCATATTGATGTTTGAACACCTTTATTTCTCTTTTGAACATTATCTGTTCTCCAGAATCCCTTAATCAGAAAACATCAATGTTTTTGCATAATACCACAGAATGACTTTCATGTTTTCATATTATTACAAATAAGGTAGTTTTCAATTTAATATTCTTTGGATGTAGGGAAACTCCACCAACTGTAGAAACACTGTGAATTATACATTTCTAATTATAGTCATTTCCACTAATTGTTCATTAGTCTACTGTTCCAATGTGAAATAAGATTCAAATTTGACCTTCAGACATTAGGATATGCAATAATTAAATTTTTGAAATATCATTTTAAAGAAGTTATGTTATTATTACTCATCAATTAAAACTCATAAATGGCCCTTTAAATGCTTCTGTTTTAAACATCTGTAAAAAGGGCAGTGTTTCTAGCTGAAGTTGCTCCACTATTCTGCACACAAAAACAATGTAATAATTAATGCAAAATTTAAATAGATTCCATCATTTAATTAACATATTGTGAAAGTTTGCTGTCTACTTCTGTAGCTCAATTACCTGGGAAAGAATCATATCAAGAATTGTTACCTTAGGTCGGAGAGATGCCTTAACTCATAAGAGCATACACTGTTCTTCTAGAACAGTGGTTCTCTACTTGTAGGTGGTGACCCCTTGGGCAAACCTCTATTTCTGTAATTATTTACATTATGATCCATAACTGTAGCAAAATTACAGTTATGTAGTAGCAACAGAAATAATTTTATGGTTGGGGGTCACCACAATAGGGGGAGCTGTATTAAAGGGTCGCAGCATAAAGATTGAGAACCACTGTAATACAAGATGTGAGTTCAGTTAACAGTATTCTCATTAGGAGGCTCACAGCCAACTGTAACTCCAGTCCAGGTGATCCAACAGCTCTGGTCTCTATGACACCTGTAATTACAAGAAAAAACCCAAACACAAAGATTCACACATCTATATATAAATGGATAAAATAAATCTGGAAAACGATTGCCTATCACTTATCATAATTTCCTAAAAAGGTTTCAAGCTAGTCATCTATATAAGTAATTTGAAAATGTAAGCACATATAATAGTATGGTTTTCATAAGAAACATACTGAAATACTATTAAAAATCTATATTTTCAAAAGGGAATTACAGTTTGCAGGAATAAGATTATTATGCAATCAGAATTTGAGATGCTTAATTACCTCTAGGGATTTAAACAGCATGACAGAACATTTTAAAGGCATGTACAATAACCCAAGAAATAGTGGAAGTAATATTTATACATGTCTTTCCAATGACCTACGAAACATTGTGTTCTGGGAGATATTTTTTTGTATGTAAGAATACATTTTCTGAAATTTATTGTAAAAACACCAATAATAGATATAGTTATTTACCAGAGCAATACTACCTTTTCATGTATTATAGTTCATAATATAAAATAAAAATAATTTCACTCTGTTATATTTAATGCAGTTGGTTTCTAATTCAATCCTACTCTTCTGTTTGTTTCAGAGTATCACAGTGATTGGTTACGCCATGAAGGTCCAAAACCCCTCAGATTTTCATTTTTCCTTTCCTGCATTTATTTAATTGAGACAATTACATTTATCTTTTGACTCAAAGTTTTGTTGTTCATAAATAATCCTAAGAGTTCATAGAGAGGGTTTATATTTCAGTGGTGTTTCAGGCTGTGACTCAGCTACCTGGCCTGCAATACAGTCTGTGCTGATTTACTAATGCCCTAAATGGACTGCTGTGATGCCCTCCACACATTCCATCCTTGAATCCCTCCTGGATCTTTGACTTGCACACAATGCAACAATTCACTTCTGGCAGTGAACTGAATGGAATACATTAAGCACACATCCTGCATGCTGAACAGCTTTCTGTTTACTTTGAATTGCAATTCAAGACATTGAGGTCAGACTCCAAATCTCTGGACATTTTAGACCCTAGTTTTCTCATAAATTTTTAGACCCTTTTGCTCCTCCCATGATGGAAAGTGGTCTGAGATATGTTGATTCCATGTGTACAATTTTGGTTGTAGAAAGAGTGCAATGTTGTCTTTTCTCCTTTGGTGAAAGAAAGCATAAAGCTGTTCCTTGCCACGTGGGAAACAGAGTCTGAGAGCAGGCTAGCGCTGTCTCCAGTTTAGGGAAGCTGTAGAATTGAGAATACTTTATTCTTTTGTTCCAAGGGAGACTATAGAAAAAAGCAAAGTGATCTTACTTCCCTCCAATATTAATATATTACTTGTCTACTGGGTAGAGACAAATGTAACCTCCCAAATAGATTCACACACAAATTCGTCCATCCTCTTACATTACTTTATTTTCATATTTGACCATTAAATATTTACTTATTTGCAAATAAGTGAAAGCTTGGAACTAAAGTTAGCATAATACAATGGACACCACCCCCAAAATAAAGAGCCCTGATATTTTAGAAGTAAAAAATGCAACACTGTCCTTGCTAAATTCCATATATGGCCTATACAAAAATTTCCACCAACCAACCCAAACATCAGACTTCCTATAAGCTAATAAAAAGAAATAATGCTGTGGAAAACCCAGAACACAAAATCCTATCCCATACTAACTAGAAATCTAAACTAAATATATGTCCTAATAAGAGGGATTTGATTTTTGCTCAATGCCAAATTATTCTGGTAGAGTATGAGATAAATTACCAACATTATCATGTTGGTATTAAATTGTTACAATTCAAATTATATTATTTGAAATATATTTATTACCCAAAAGTTAACCCTGAATATAAACAGATTGCTAGATCAGTTAGCTAAATCCATAGGCTTCCCACAACTTAAGGTCTATGTAAATGACAGTGTAGACATTTCATAACAGCAAGAGAAGAAAACTCAGTTTCATGGCACTCTGAAGAACAAACAGTGTTTCAAATAACCGTGTGTGTGTACGTGTGTGTGTGTGTGTGTGTGTGTGTGTGTGTGTGTGTGTGTGTATGTGTGTGTACATGTGTGTGTGTGAGAGAGAGTGTGTGTGTATGCACATGCTTGTATACATGTATGGAGCAAAAAAAAGTATAAAGTTGTGTCAGATGCTTTACAGCTGGAGTTGCAGGCATTTGTGGGAAGTCTTGCTTGCTAAATGAGTGCTAGTTTTCAAACTCAGCTTCTCATTTACAGAGTAAGCACTTGCAACCACTGTGGCAACTGTCCAGTATCTATGCATAATAGTTTTCTAAGCATCAAATGGAAAGATAAAAATTGGTTAATAAAAAAGAGATGTGAAAAACTCTAAAATTTAAGTTTATAAAATGTTCCATATAGCAAAACATAATAGAAAATGTGGAAGGTATTCTATTTCAATATTATATCAATGCACTTTTACTGTTTATGATTCATAATGGGATTGCAGCTACATTTCATCAATGATGCAGAAAATATTAGAGATGAAATCATTACAAGTGAAATCATTGCAGGTAAAATCATTAGAGGTGAAATTACAGGTGAACCTCCTTCAGAATAATTCAAGAGGATTGGAGAGTACATAAAACAATACTGGCTTGATGATGTCTATGTGGGTACCCTACATTTGTCTTTCTCTACATTTATCTTTATTAGTACAATTACTCTAATAAAAAGAGGGATGCTCTTGAAGTTAATTTGATCACAGTGGCATTATAAACAGGACAAATATTTAAAATTTCCACTCACATGTGCCATTATAAGTCAGCAATCTAGTGTGCGATGCTTCATGATACAAATACCTGAGAAAATTCATTTCAAAGTAGGAAAGTGTAGTTTTGGCTCATGGTTTTGGAGATTTTATGCCACAGTCAGGTGGTGCATTGTAGCGCATCATTGTGTGGGTGGAGAAACTTGCTTACCTAGTGGAAGAGAGATGCTCTGGGTTCTCAATATCCCTTTTAAATCCATACCTAATTTTCTCTTAGTGGACTAGACTGTATAAGGTTCTGTGACTTTACAACAGCAGCAGAGGCTTAGAAGCAAACTTCCAGTACCTGATCTCGTGAGAAAAACTTACACACAACATGGCATTTAGTATAAGTCTTCATTAATAGATAGGATATGCATTCATGAACAATCTGTGATGTATTTCTAATAAAATATAGTGTTGTGGGTTAAGCATGTAAAGATACTAAAGAAGAAAATTGTGACATACAAATTGGTCAAGGTATATTATGAATTTGAAAATATTGGGAAACAAAGGCTACAGAGATATGAGGCCTTGGATTGTGTTTTGCTATTTGTCTCATTTTAGAAATGCAAGTGAGTTTCCTTGCTTCATGTCTCTAAAATTACAATAAGTAAACTAAACTCTGAGGACTGTTGTGGGCATTTCATAATTCATGACATCACCCAATACAAGAAATCAGCACTGTCACTTACATAATACTTAATTTGTTCTGAGAATTGGTAGCATTAGTTGATTTATATGCTTTATAGAAACAAGGGAACAGGAATTAACTGACTTGTCGGAGGGGCTGAGATTATCGCTGTTCTATTTGTCACCAGGATCTGTCGACTTTAGCAGCTGCATGAGGACTAGAAAGAGGGCACAGAAAACAGTTAATAAAGTGATAAGGATAAGGTAGTGTCTTTTAATTATTAGATACACATTAATTAATTACACAATAATTAACACCTTAATTATTGGATAAGCATTTTATACAGTATCTACTAACTTCAGTGTCTCTTAGAATTCTATCCTGAATTTGAAAACTACTATGCTCTGTAGCAACTTGTTTCAATTCTTTATAGAAATGGAAGGCAAACTATTTTGAGAACTTACATTGTAACAATCAATGCCCTCAAGACTTCCCATAGTTCAACTTGAGTGATGTTCCTAGCAGTCACAGTGGTTTTTAAATGATGGGGCATCTTCAAGAGGTCAAGGCAGTGAAGTGTGAAGATGGAGAGTCATTTCCAGATGTCCCTAAGCTTGTGATGACTGCAACTCTACATAGAGAAAAGTGGAGATGACTCCACAGGCTGTTCAGAGAATTTTATTACCCTATTCTCTCCAAGAAGGAAGGAGAAAATAGCAATTAACCTTTGCAGCATTATACTGAAATTTCCAACAAATATTATCACACCACACTCTTTTTATAGTCTTCTGAGAAAATCCTTAGTATTTAAAACTCTATAGGACGAGAAGAGTTTAAGCTTCAAAGAATTTAAATCATTTCCTAAAAATTACACATTCTACAAATTATGAAGCAAGTTTTGAACATACTTGATATATAATTAAAGTTCCTCCATTTGGACTTATATTGAATATTGGCTGTTTTAGTGCCCAGTCCCTGGAGACAGTGAAACACAAGCCTATTTTCAAGTCAAAAAAAATACTCCTTTCATTCTTATTTTATTTCCACACAAGACCATATTCCATTTTCTGTTCTCTATGCATTACTATCATAATCTTCTTCCTCATTATCGTCTTTCTTCTTCTTCTGTTTCTGCTTCAGCTCTAACCCAGCATTTTCATATATGTGAGCATGGTGCTCTACCAGTGAGCTTATATCTCAAACAGAGAAAAAACTTTTCCAGCTATTTCATTTCCAAATAGAAAACATATTAGATTGGAGAAAATTGTTGTGTCTTACTAGAATTTCTAAGAATGATTTGTTTTCATGCCTTTATGTCTTTTATGTTTATCTATGAGTTGTTTATAACCATATATGATACCCATGGCAAATTGGAGCTATCAAGTTTTGAATCATATGAACTGTAAGTCACTGGATTTTGGTCATATGAGGAAATAGACAAAGAAATATTACTGTAAGCTTTTAATGCACTTTTAAATAGGTAAAGGAATTCAATGCTGATGATTGTTAAGGAAAACTGTGCCCTGGATTTCTCTGGCCTGTGCATGGACAGAACCTACAGAATTAACTCAGCTTCATGAGGTACCAAGATTTTCTGGGTCATTCTCCACTCAGTGAGTCACAGGAGTGCATCTAAAAGCAACCTGAATTTTACTCCTCTCATTTATGCATCATTTTAATGCAGGTGGAAGATAAAAATAGGGTTGGGACTTGCATTCAGATGACAACACGACTTACAAACTCTTAAGAAATCAATTTAATTTGCAGCTGAGAAAGATGGGCATGCTTTGGTGGAAGAGAAGGTATATGAAATTCATGGCTAAGAAGATGTAATAGGAAAGGATCAGAGGGCTTTCTTGTTACATTAGAATACCCTCCATTTTCTCTGAACCAGGTGGGAATCAACAGAGATGTCTGAGTATGGTAGGCAGATTTATTCAGATCCTACTTGTGTAACATTTGATGTGGCAGTCTTAAATATGGGGAATTTGGTCTAGGAATGTTTGTGCATCAACTTGATGCCACTGAAGCCTCCTAGCTGTTAATGGGATGTAAGGTGGATTAGAAGTGTAGTTGAGAAGAAAGCTTAAGGATGTGAGAAGGTCAATAATAGGTAGCTAAATAAATGGCAAATAGATTTTTTAAACTGATTCAAGCAATTAAAATATATTATGCCTCAAAAATATAGTATGCCTCATAGTCATAATACAAGTTAGACTCTAAAGAGGTAGTGGAGATCACTTTTTACTGATGAATCCTTGTTATATTGGCCAATGAGAAATGACTTTCTTCTCATACATCTGCTCCTAGGCTGTGTTCTGTGCCTCATCTAGTTAAACATATTCTTGGGCTAGAAAAAACAATATGACCAAGACAAGACATTGCCTTTTAAACAAGCGAGGCTATTTCTGCCCTTATATCCTACAGCATCACCAAACATACCACAACATACCCATGTCCAACTGAGAGATAGCCTAAGCCTTCTTGGATCTACTCCAGTGAAGATTATACTGAACATCTCTATATCATTAGACACATTTAAAATGATTGTATAGCAGGAAATGAATTTATATATTTCAAAGTAAGGTTCAAATATGCTATATGTTTAACACAATAAATATAGGAAACAAATTAATAGAGATTAGATGTATGAAATTCATTTTTTCAAAATCCTTAAATGTACCACACAATCTCTTGATTCATTTTAAGGCTAATTTTCTTACACTTGCCTCAAACTATTACTACTTATCCACAAACTAATAATCATAATGCACTATTTAAATATATAAATTGAGAGCTTTTTACTGAAGAATATAAATGGGATGGTTTTATATTTTACGTGCTGGTATTAACAGCAGTGGCTAAGAGTCAAGAGCATTAAGAAAACATCTTCGACACAGAAGGCTATGCTGAAGGTCGGCTTCATTCACTCCCTTAAGTGAATTTTTTTCAAAAGAGATAATGAGGTAGCTACTAACATTGAAAGGCGAGACTGAGCAAGTCTAGCAGAAAGGACATATCCATTAAGTTTACAAAAGGGATTATGTAAGCATCCTGAATTACTTCCAATTTTCTTGTAGAACATTTACTTTTTAGTGACTACCAGTTTTCTAGGTCCTGAGTTTTGAAATATAGATGCAAATAATTTCATGTAGTTGTTTTTGAAAATGAAATTGAGCAATTCCAAAAAATCTGCTGGAATTAAACTTATATATGTGGTTGTTTGTCTTGCTGTCTTGCATATTTCACTTTTCATAAGTGTCTATTCACTGATCATGGTGGGAGATTTCATAAAACCAATATTTTCAAGCACACCATGATCTTTGACCTTCACCTTCTTTTCTATTACCTACAATTCCCTCATAATAGTCTCCTTCACCTCTCCCCTACCACCTCCTTCTATCACATCAAAAATATATAACTAGACTTATTATCTAGGTACATTTTGGACATCACAAATGAAAGAATATATATAGTATTTGTCTTTCTGATTCTGGTATGTTCCACTTATGTGAGTACAGCCAGCTGGATTTATTTTCTAATAGGTGCTATTATTTGTTCACGTTTATTTATGGCACAGAGAAAAGCTCAGTGTACATACCTACTTTCCTTTCTCTGATTTGGGTATGTTCCACCAATGTCAGGACATCAAGTTGTATTCTTATAGATGTTATAATTTTATTCAGGTTCATTTATGGCAGAGAAAATCACCATGTATATACATACTTTTCTTTATCCACCAAGGTTGGCTCAGTATCTTGGTTATTATGAATAGTGCCACGATGACAATACTTGATCAAGTATTTCTGCTGTGTATTAACTCAGTGTCCCATGGGTATGTACATACAAGTAGCTTAACTAGGTATTACCTGAAGTCATTTTTATTTTGGTAAAGATTCTACATATTGATTTCCACAGTGGTTTGACCATTTTATGTTCTGATTAACAACAGTTCAAACTTTACCGTTTCCTACATCCTTGTAAGCACTTGATTTTTTGTTTGTTTGTTTTGTTTTTTGTTCAGTTTTCTTATTTTGATACATTGTTTTTCTGTGTATCCCTGGCTGTCCAGGAACAGGCTGACCTTGACATCAGAGATCCTCTGCTTCTGCCTCTGAGGTGCTGAATTTAAAGACATGGGCCACCACTACCTGGCATATTGTTTGTTTTCTTAATGACACTAATTCTTACTGGGTGACTTGGACTTTCAGTTTTCCATCAGTGTTATGTTAACTCCAAGATGTATTATAATTGTTCCATGGTATCATGTATTTCTACAAAACCCCCAGCCTTGATTTTTACCTAAGGTCATCTTGGCTATCTGAGGTTTTGGGTGTCTATATATGAATTTTAAGAGGTTTCCTTTTTTTCTACATGTGTAAAGAAGAGAATTGGAATTTGATAATAATTGTATTGAATATGTGGATCTTCTTTTTAGTGCAGTAATTTCACCCATATTAATTAAGAGGACCCATGAGCACAGGAAGTCATTTCATCCTCTAATTTATTTTTCAATTCTTGCACTGTTTTACATTTTTCATTGTACAGACCTTCACTTCTGTAGAAAGTTTTATTTCCAGTTACTCTTTTTAAATTTCTATTTCAAATGAGATTTTTCTTTCTCAGTGTGTGAATTTAAAGTGTTTAAGTAAACCTCTGGTCTTTGCATGTTGATTTTGTATCCTGCTCCTTTGCTGAAAGTGTAAGTTTGCTTTAAATGAAGCAATTATAGAATTCTATTTTGAAGATAGGTAGTACTTCACTCTTATTTTTGATACTGTTAGTGCCTTTTATTTTACTGATAATGTTTTAATACATTTCATTATTTTGCACTTATATACTTGTGAGAAAAATAGCATGCTTTCATGGCAGGAAACAGGTAATTGATTCATTGGGATCCCTCAGTACTACAGAGATTGGGAGTAGCCTTAATTTACTAAATATAGGATGTATTGTCATAAAATGTATTGAGGAAGCAAAGATCTAGAGATATGTTTCAGAAAATTTGCCAGACAAAGTGCAGGCAGAAAAGCCAAATGTGGATAACAGTTATAGAACCTGGTATGCAGAATTATGTGAAGACATTTTGATTGGGACAGAAGAAAAGATAAGTTACAATTTTTAATCATAAGGTAAAGTTAAATTGCATGTGAATACTTAAAATGTAGGAAGTCAGTGATCACATATGTGAAATTGAATTTGTGTAGAAATAACTGAGAATAAGAATGCTACAAACATTAGTGCAACACTTGGGAGATAAACTATTGGCTTGAAATGATCAGCAAGTTGAAAATGGAAAATAGCAATGGTTACATGCTAAATACACACAGACATGTACATTATATTTTATCAATTTCAAAGGATAAGAATTAGACTATTGTGTCTTAATATCCTTTGAAAATGTGTGTATTAAGATCATAGAGATTTTGTTATTTTAAAATGTAGGGGAGAAGGTTTAAGCATCAAGGTTGACCTTGGTTCAAAGCTATGCACTCTACCACAGTGTGCTGCATACACTACAAAGCCGTAGGAAAGGTTTCTGTGTTTTCATATTTTTGTCCCTGTCTTTCTTCTCCTCTGTTTAATATGTAAATGATTATATCATAAAGCTTAAATGAAGCAACATATAAAACACCTTCTATTGTGCTCTCCAGAGAATAAACTCTCATTATAAAAATGCAAGAGATGTTAAGAAGATATGGATGAAAAAGTGGTAATGTTTCAACAACAAGAAATAAAAATTATTACCTAAAACCAGGGATGAAATAAGTGTTAATATTAAATAACTCTTCAGTGCTTGGTACAGACTAACCAGATCACTGACTTAGCAATTATTCATTTAGTGATGATTTTCTACCAGCTTGTTCTTTACATTGGGTACACAGGCCTAGCAAAATTCATGCTACCACCATCAAAGATATATGTGGAGAGAAGCAGAGAGGAAGCTTAATCTTGTGATAGACACAATAGCTGCTATCAGTAAATTGTCAATCAGAGTAGTTCCACGTATGTTTCTACACCCAAGACTTAGAAAAACTTTTGTGTGTTTAATATATATGTATATATCAAGTACATATTTAATGCATATGAGTTATATACTAAATTTTCATGAACATGACTACAAGAGTAACATAAATAGCTAGTGTTGGCCAGCTCACAATTTCGCAAATGCCTTAATGTATTTAAAATTTAGTTCCTATGAAGAAAGTGTATTCTCAGGCCCCATTAACTTTAAAAGTGATAATATACCTCATCCACATTTAAAAGGAAATTTAAACCACCACAGATGGCAGGTTAAGGGATACATTTGGCCTTTCTATACTTTTAATTCTTAACCTTCCAAGTAGAATCAGTGATGTTCTATAATTCATGAATTTAAAGTAAGGCAAATGTTTAACTCAAGATTAACATTGGAGTAGGTAGTATAAGCTTTGCCTTCACCATTTTTGCAACATGTATCTATTTTCCACTACTCAGAGAATGGTACAAGTGTTATCTTGCTAACTAGAGTAATAAGTCTTTGAATAAAATATGTTTTTGACTTTGATTTTGTCATCAGAAACCTCATTCCTAGAGGCAGACTTTTGAAATTGATATAGAGATGAATATATCTGATGTGTTTATAACAGGCTAACAGTGTTGGATATATACAGTAAATCACAAGTCAGAGACCTAAGAAAGGTGTGGCTAGCTAAAAAATAACATTCAGTAAGTGGGAAGATTAGCACTTAAAAGTCTGTATGTGAGTTTTATTAATCATTGAAAAGATGAAAACATGGTTCTAAACTAACAGAGGAAATAGTAGATGAAAAAGGTTCTATTACCAATAAGGCAAAAATTATCACATTCTAACAGAAATTCCTTCATTTTCTTATCCATGGGGGTATGGGGTGGCCAGTACTTTATTCTTTGAACCATTTACTCTGTCCTGTCTTACACATAAAAATGAGTGGCAGAAAGGGAATCTACAGCTCTCCCTCTCTTCTGCTGTCCTTCTCTCTTGTGCTCTCTCTCTCTTGTGCTCTCGCTCTCTCTCTCTCTCTCTCTCTCTCTCTCTCTCTCTCTCTCTCTCTCTCTCTCTCTCTCTCTCTCTCTCTCTCTCTCTCCCCGCTGTTTATTACATTGTTGCAGTATATAAATGGGCTTCTAAAGAAACTTCTGGCACCTCTCAAAGCAAGCTGAGCATCCATGCTATGTGCTATGTATTGAGATTCTGAAAGTTCAGTGCAGGTTTGTAGTGGCCAGGCCTCCCCTTCTTCATTTTTTTGTGCATTTTCCAGATTGTCTATGGTATTGATTTATAGACTTTTTCTTTAATTTTGATTGGAACAAGGACGATACTTTTCAATATCCTTTGATGAGAATGGCTAGACATTTATTCTTTAAAAGAGGAGCTATTTTCAATATGGTCTTTTGGGGGACCTAGTGCTTACGGATATAATAGAAAGATCCCCTGAGGTTCCCTTTCCCACTTCAGATACATGGGAATTTCAAGTAACAGCAAATCTAAACACTGTGTGAAATAGAACATAGACAAAAAGCAACTCCTTTTTCATGTTCATTAAATCTACTTTACATTCATCATTTTTCACTCAACTTAGTCTGAAAAAAGTTACTTCTTCTCCAAGTGTTTTGTTCATTGTAGTAAATATAGACTAAAGTTTATAGCAGAATTGTACTTCAAAGTGTGGTCACAAGAAATCTCATGAAATTAAGCATGCAGATAGCAAGCATAGAACTTAGTATATTGGTTTCTAATATTGTCTGTCTCTGAGTATCTAAGTATAATCTGGAGTTTCAGAAAAGACTAAGGCCATGTATCTCCCACTGAAACTAGTATGTAATTGGTTTATGTGGTATCTTTGACTTTGGAAACTGAACAAGTCTTATGGGTAATTATAATGTTTATAGGAACTTGTAAATCAATACATTAGCTCCTGGCAGATGCTCATCATATAAGCTCTTCCTCTTTCTAGATGTAGTTTGATAAATAAGGAGGTGCTGTGCCTCCAAGAGCTAATTTTGAGTCACTAAATGAATATTCAATATTCACTTGCCACACAAAGGAAATTTGTTTTTAAGAGAAAACACATTTGTAAAGGCATAGTCAAACATTGTATAGCTTATATTTCTAATAATCATTTTCTACAATGAAATTTTAGAAGAGAGACTCATGAATGTAACAGTCTCAGGCAGTTCAAGAGCCGACTTTGCACAATGTCAACAAGTAAAAGATGTGCTGAAGTATTTGCTAATGATTTGCAAGTCAGCAAGGGCTACCAGCAGCTGCTTCATAGGTGGAGGGAAATTGCACATCGTTTTTACCCTCAGGGAATATTTTCTAATTCATTCCCTGTTGCAAATGTGAAACTCCACATTAGACTTACAAAATGTAGTATTTCATATTAGGAACATAAAACTGATATGGATTAAACTTGGAAAAAAAAGTGTGGATTCACTAGGGTAGTGTGGATAATCAATACAAACCCTGGCAAAAAATAGTGGCTATATCCCTTCTTGAGGGGTTAAAGCTTATTAATAGTTGCTGGGGAAGAGATGCCACTTTCTGTAACAATGTATCCATTAGATTATTAGATGAATTAAAAGGATTCAAAGAACAATTAAAAGGATATCAGATGGTCACAGGGAATGGGTTTAATTTCAGTATATTGTAAATATGAAACTGTTAAAATAAAGAGAAACACACAGATATCTAATAAAAGTAATTTTCAAATGTAAAAATGAAGCTAAATTAGGTGCCAAAGAAAGAAATGTAAAAGTAAGTAAAGATGAAGTCTATGTAATAAAAGGTCACAATAGAGGAGGGAAGAGCAAGAGTGAGCACAACTTTCAGATGAAATGAGGTGGTTACAGAGTTCAGAGGGAAGGGGTATACAGTGCTGTTGTGTGCAGGGTCATCTATGTTTTTCCACTGCCTTTACTCAGAGCAGAAATATAATCTCTATAGCACATTTGCAACCACAGCATTATGCCCACTGCTTCTACCAGTGAAACAAACAGCTAGCTGAGACTCCCCTGATGAGAGCTGGGCAGGTCTACCAAGAAAACGGGACTTCAAAAAATGACACTACCAGGATTTTGAGAAATACATTTCTCAGCTGAAATGAAGCAAAATTACTTGAATTTCTAGGTTGCAGTTTCAGAGAGAAGCCTCCCAGCAGAAAAATATAGGGATACCACTTCATGTGCAGTTTGATTGATACATATTCATGAATAAATTTGAGGAGAGGAATTCCTAGAACAATGACAAGTAATAACATCTAACATTTATACAGAGCTAAGAGTTGTACTTCTTTCAGTCTGCCAAAGAATATAAAATCATGATTTTTTTTTCCTTGAGTAAAATACACAAAAAGTTCTTGTCTGGATGTTAAGAATAATTATCGCTATTTGGGCCTTCCTTCATTTTCATCAAACAAAGTGTTTCTTAAAAGGATCAACACATGTTTTAGGTTCGTTATTTGTAATATAAAACAAATATCATTTAGAAGTGTTCAAATATTTGACACAAAATAAGTTAGTGTTCACATTTGGGATCTGGAATGAATTACCATGTGTGTAAACATAGTAAGGACAAGGGCTGGGGATGAGAATATGTATCTACAGTAATGAATGAGATTGAAAATAATGACCAAATGAGTGGATATAAAAATACTCTATCATTTTGTAAATTTCTCTAAAACAATATTGACTGTTCAAAGGTCATTATTAGCAATGTTTTGTGGGGAATATGGTATATAGAAAAATAAATGTATGACAGTAGTACAATGGTTAATGGTGGATATGTAGACATTATTTTTAGCTTCTTAAACTACATGAAAAGTGACATAATAATATACCTTTAATCTAGAATTGAAAAGTTAATTACGATTACTATGAACCCCAATGCAGCTGAAAGACAATATTGAGATTTGCAGTAAGCCAGATCATGAAGAAGATGAACCAGAATGATAAAGAATTATAAGTTAACCTTAGGTAGAGCAGAAAGAGAAAAAAAGGAGAGCAAAGAACAAGTGAACCAAAATGCAACAATCTTAACCATATTAGTAATCACATGTCTTGAATGCACAGATGAATGGGTAGGGCTTACCATTCTTGATTAACCAGCATTTAAACTGTGTCACCCAAAGAAACTCACTTTGGAGGGAGCTAAGAGAAGAGAAGAAATTACATAATTATATTTTAATAAAATAAAATTTACAAAGATGAACACACAAAGAGCTGAAAGTAAAATGTGTAATAAGAAAATATTTTGGTCAGAAAACAAGTTAGATTAATTAGGAAAAGAAAAGGGGAGAGAAATGTCACAAATCATAAGATATATCAAGATTGAAAATGGAAATCTTACAACAGAAGTGACAGACAAAAATAATTAAATATTTTGAATAGTTTTATACTAATGATTTCCAATAACTAATGTGAAATAAAAATTGTGAAATAAAAACTTTGCATTACTTAATTTTACTGAGTGATATTTTCAAGTATTTTAGGAAGAAGTGATGCCAATACTATATAAGAGGTTCACAACTATTTTAAAGGGAGAAAATACAGTTTATTTTATAAAGCCACAATACCCATCCCAGAAAAGAAAATTATAGTTCAATATGCCTCATGAACATAGACAGAATTCACAATATTTTTTCCAAAATGGAAAATAAATAATGACTGAGTGGGATATATCCTATAAATAAAAATTTGTTTACAATTTTAAGTTTATCAGTATAACTTGTTGTGTTGGCAAAAGAAAGGCACATTAAAAACTGTCTGATAAACAAACAAAAACATTAAAGAAAATTTGGTGTTCGCATCTGAGAAAAACTCAGTGCACATACATGGACATCTTCAAATAATAGTGAATAACTCTGACACATGCCAAACAGGAACATGGTGAAGGAGTAACACCTATCTGAGCTCCCTTAATGTAAAAAGATAGCAAATAAATTATTTGCTATTGCTTCTTGTCTTGTAGAGAATTTTTGTCACTGCAATGTGGGTGATTACACAAGTCATCTTATAAATATAAAACAATAAACTAACATGACAATTTGTACAGATAATTACATACAAAGTGGTATCAGTACTAACTATGTTTAGATGAATGATTGATATACAAAATCCATTTTATTTCTCAAAATGGCATCCAGCAGTGAGAAATCTACTATTTTTCAGAGAATAAAAAATATTATGATGAATAAATATCATAGAAGATAAGAAAGATGTAATCTTTTCTAAAGGAAATGAAAGTTACCTTTATCTGAAAGTATGTAATATAGCTCTACTACTAGCATGGCCATTCTATTCAATTGGCTTAGAGTTTTAAAACAATGGCAGACAATTTTTTTGGAAATTAGCACCAAATTCATGTGGAAAGGAACAAGAACTATAATAGAAAAGTTACAATGAGATGGAAAAAAGAAGGCTATCAGATTTCAAGACTCAACAGACTCTTATAATTAATTAATTATAATTAATTCAGTGTAGTATTAGCAAAAGAAAGAAAGGATTGTTAACACAGTCCTCATATAGGAGAATTCGTAATATGTCGATTCCTTACTTTCAGCTCACAGGCAAAGATGACTATGAAGAAGGTGATCCTTTTCAAAGACTGAAACAAATAAATGAGCCAAATCATCCTTCATACACACAAAACACACTCGCCATGGAACATCAGTCCAAATGCAAATCTACCATTGTAAAGAGGCTGAAAGAAAGCAAAGATTAAAGCTTTTTCCTTTATTAATCAATACACAAAGCAAAACGGGCCAAAGAAAAAATTCGGTAGAAGTTTTGCTTTTTTATTTACAAGATTATGGAAGACAAAAAGAAAATCCAATGTAATTTAAAAATATTTGTGAATTATGTATTAATTAAACTAAAGTGATTAACTATCAAGTGTTAAAAAAACAGGTGTGGGAGGAATAGGCACTCTTAGAGAAGATGAAAATATACAACTATTAATTTGTAATACACTTTAATATATATATTTAATATATATATAAATAATATAATTTCACGTGCACACACACACACACACACACACACACACACACACACACACACACTGCTAATATATTTTTCCAGCAAAAGTACTGGTTGATGGATATATTGTCTTTCTTTGATTTAATACTATAATTCAATTCAATAATATGAGCATGCTAACAGTAGAGATGTACTATATATATTGATTATAAAGATAATTTTTATTTCCTTTGGAAATATCTACATTTTTCTATCTTGTATTAGATTTGTTCATCACAATATTATTCTGATTATCTAATCTATAGTAGTTTGAAGTTTCTAAATGCTGGGTGGTATTTTGAGAAATAAAATTCATTATTTATATCTATCTGTATTGAATGAATATTCACACAAATGTCTCTGTCAGCTTTATTTGTAATAGCAAGAGAACACAACTCATATATCCAACAAGTGGATTTATTAAAGGGAAAAAAGCTAACATGAAATTGGGAAGAATTCAGT